CACAGCTTTTGGTTTCTTTGCTGTTCTTTAGAGAGTAGGACTCATGCGGTGTCTGGGATGCTACTTGTATAAAGATGTGAAGCTAGGAGCTTGGCTCCCTATGCAAAGAGCCTTTCAGCAGGTTTTAAAACACAAAAGCTCTAAAACAAAAAAAATTTCATTTCAGACAACTGAAAAATTAACATATACAGATTCCTAAACATTCGTGTCTGACAGTGAATGCTTCATATAACACTAGATGTGTACAAGTTGAAAAACAGCCAGCTAGCTTCACATTTTTCAGATGAACTCAATTTTAGCTTGGATCTTTAGACTTTGCATAGTTAAAGCTTTCAGCAAATGACAGAAGTGGACTTCAAATAATCAAAGGAAATCTCCACCTACCTTTAGACACTTTGAAAAATTCTTCCTTTGAAGTCATGCTAGAGCAGAAAAGTGTAGTTTTATAATTATTAATGTATTCTTCCCTTTCCTGTACAGGTTTCCAGTAAAATGTTATTCCAAAGGACTCTGAAGTTTTTGGTTTATCACGTTGATAATCAGAAGAAACATCATCTCCTAGGCCAAGTTATCTTCCCATTGAAAAATGAAACATTAGCTGATGACAACAAACTAGTCATATGGAGAGATCTGGAGAAAGAAAACTTGGAGGTATGTGATACCAGGCTGCTTGGCACTGTGGAACTTCAGTCATCTTACAAGTATTGGAGTAGTACAGCTGAAGTACAAGTATCTTGTGTCAAATACTTAAAATGCCAAAGTATTTGATAAACATTTGGAATCAAAATTCCCATGGTACCACCCCACAGATCCATAGCTGTTGTTGAGGGATTATCCAGCTGCTGAGAAACAGTCATATGAGTTAGGAGACAGTTACATACATCTTTTGTTATTTGTTCCTGTTTTGAATCAGTAAGAGCAGGGAAAAAACAAAACAAAACCAGAGGAGGCAAAGAAATAGGCATCACCTGGAAGAAACAGTAATTCAGAGTTTCTAGAAGGCTGATTAATTCTGTTAAATGTCACAACAGCATAAATAAAGCTCTTACAATTCACTCACATGCCTCAGCGTGGCAGAAACCACTAGTATGAAGAACTTCCCCCTGCCCCTGTTTGTCTACGTGAAGAAAGTTTTTCAGATGTATCTGACAAGTGTTCTTCTGCTCCCAAAGCCTCCTTCAGAGCATGGGGATATCCAGTTCTCCCTCAGCTACAATGACTACCTGGGCCGTCTCACTGTCGTGGTTCTGAGGGCAAGAGGGTTAAAGCTCCAGGAGGAGAGCCATGCTGTCAGTAAGTGGGATTTCCTCTCTGCTATCAGCTCCAGAATTCCTGTTTCAGTTTGCTCCTTCCTCATCTGCCCACCCAGGCTTGCACTGAGTGACTCAGAAAAGAAAAGCTGATTTGAATGGAAACAAGCCATATTTTTTTTTTTTTACTGGGGTAATTAGATTTTGATAGCTCAGTTCTGCTATGGTTTAGGTTTGTTCCATAATAAATGGTTTGTCTCATAAAGAAGACAGCATTTCAGAGAAAGCAGGCACTAAGAGAGCTGCCTCAAGGTAACAGCTACAGGACAGGACAGCTCCTTATTGTCCTGGCTACAACTGAACTGGGAAAAAAAAATCATCCCATATTAGGACAGCCTGGCTGTTGTTCAAAGGACCATGGTATAGAGTCACAATTTTTCTCCCTCACTGCACAGGGAGTTTTCCTAGCACATGATGCTTATGTGCCTTTGGCCTCAGAGATGTTGAGTGTAGAGATTACCTCAAAATCCTGTTTAAAATATAAAACGTTCTAAGCAAAAGTGGATGAACAAAACTTGTATTTGAATCTGTAGTGGTTTTTTGGAAGGGCTTTGAAACTAAACAATATAAATGCAAAAATACACCCAGCAGTGGTTTAGTTCTCTATATAAACTGAAGTTTTTTTAGGTTTCTTTGAGTAGGCTGTTACCAGGATGTTTAACTTCAGAAACAATGTTCTCTAAATGAGTAAACATAATATTAGAGATAAATTTGCTCTGCTTGAACTCATAAGCAAAGAAATGAGCAGTAAAATAAGAACACAGAGGTTTCCAACAAGCAGAATCATACGCTGTGCACTTGTTGAAACAAATATATTACAGAATGTATTCATTTTAGAAAACAAAGAACTACAATAAGGGTGGCCAGAAAAAAAAAAAATGAGTCACTTGTAGCAGATAAACAAAGTAGCATTATGAACTCAGAGCAAATATTCTAATATTGCATTATCTCAACAACTTGGCAAGAGAGGGAGGACACACTTCTTAATACATCAGGTTTCTACCTGTAGCGTGAAGTGCTGTAGCACAGAGAGCCAGAACTCTGTTTTCTTTCTGCAAATCTAACCATGTTACTCTAGTGCTGGTATACTAGAAGCTATCATAATAAGCAAGAATCATGGGCATGCTCTAGAAGGAAAAGCTGCCAGGAGGCTATTCTGCAGAACTTATCACTGTGACAAATAGTTTGGGTGTTATTTCCTTTGGTAATGCTCTTCAAGTGTAATTCAGGGCTCACAGATTCTCTGGTAAATCCTGAAGAAATTGGAATGAAAAGTTTTTTGCATTAAGGTAGTGCAATACTAATCTTTGATGAAAGATGTGCAGTATGGGACAGTAAGGAGATTTATTTTTTTAATTCAAATTTCTGAATGAAATGTATTAAGAAGTAATAAGTAATGCAAAGTCAGACTTTGTGCAAGTAGTTTATATAGGAACTCTCTTCATATATAGCACTCAGGTGGCAGCTCTGTCATAAAAAAACCTCTGTTCTTCTAATCCTGCACCCTCCAAAACAGTAATGAGAGCCTGCTGGATCTGTGGAAATAGCAAGGACATGTTAGGATTCTGTCAGTGTTGTCTCAGTCCTGACATTTTTAGTCATTTTTGCTGTACAGATGAACCTTGGTGAATTGCATAGCAGAGAGTAATACACACAGTAGCAGCGTGGAATCTACTACTACTTCACTGGAAAACAACAAATATTTAGCCACCAATTAAGATGAAACTTTGACATGCTTGTCATTAAACTTTGTAGAAGGGTAGGATAGAAAGGAAGATTTCAGGTTGCTTTGGATTTAATTGTCAAAGATCTGGTGAATAAGAACACAATGCAATGCAAGTCCCCTCCAGGAAGCAAAACAAACTTTTGTTGTTCCCACTAACACATAATTTTTCTAATATTTTCAAGAAGGAGGAGCAAGAGATCATTGATCCTTTTCTCAAATTTCCTTCAGAATGTTCTACCACAGGCTAGAAGTCATTAGTAAAAGCTTTTTTTAAGGATTCTTCTGACTTATAAGAATCTGTTCCCCTGAAATGTATCCAATCCAAGGCCAGGCTGCTGCTTTATTTCATGGTTCCTCCTAAGGATTCCCCTGACTATGAGAATCTGTTCCCCTGAAATGTATCCAATCCAAGGCCAGGCTGCTGCTTTATTTCATGGTTCCTCCATCACAGTCTCCTTTGTGGTGGATCAATCATGTGATCAAATATATGAAATTAACTACTGACCCAACAAACCAAGCCTGCAAAAACATCTCCATCAGATGAAGGGGAGGTACAGGAATAGAAGATCAAGGATGTAGGGTAAGAATATGACTGTTCAACAGTTCTTAAACTGGAAAACACACTGCAAAACTGCACCCCCAGGACTTCGTGTGTTCCCCGTTTAATTTCATGCATTGCCCTGTTGCCATGTGCATTTCCTGAGCTGTTCATGACCTGGTTTTATACTTAATAGACTCAAAGAGAGAAATTCCTTCTCCCAACTGCCTCTGGTGTATTTTCTTCTTGTTTTCTTTTTCTCCAAGGCGTGTATGTCAAAGTCTCGCTGATGAACCATAATAAATTAATCAAAAGTAAAAAGACAGCAACTGTTCTGGGATCTCCCAATCCAGTGTACAATGAAACCTTCAGTTTCAAGGCAGAACAGACAGAGCTGGATACAGCAAGCCTGAGTCTGGCTGTGCTCCAGAGTATCAAGGGAGAAAGTAAGCTATCAAAATTACTAAGCACCATGTCATAAAGCTCTCATATTTTGCACAGATATTTATACCTTGGAGGAACTAATTCTTTTTCATCAATAATCATAAAACATGTTAAAGGTTTGGGGTATTTCACAAGCTGTTTCCTTAAAATGCAGAACCACCTATTTGCAGTAATTGTACAATGTCTCTTTCAGAGGCTAAAGATACATTTAATGGAAGACAAAAAAGTAACTGTAGGCTAGTCACTGTCAGCACAAGGGGCTGTACTTCTGGTATCAGAAGAAAACAAGCATGTGCACTTATGTTCTGTGAACAATTGTGTGTATAATCCCCAACCTCCAACACTTTAAAGCCTTACACTGTTCCTAACCAAATTTGAAAGAGGAATGGGAATTTTATGTTAATTATCACTGCAGTTCAAATAATGAGAAAGAAGAGAGATTACAAACATCCCCATTCCCTGGCAGAAAACCCAACAATTTAAGTTAAATCATCTTACTAATTGAAAGAGAATCCATTAAGGAGTTCTGCTGAGAGAAGCAAATCAGAAATCAATATTTCTACTGCTCACAAGAAAAACATCTTCCCTGCACTGCAAGTATGATCTCAATAATGAAACTTTAATAACCTCATTTGGACTCATATGCTGTTGAGAAAATTCCTTTAGGTAAGGTTTTGGGCAGATGCTTTGGCTTTGAGGACTGAAAAGAACTAGGATCAGTACTTGGGTCTTTCACCATTTTCACTTGCAGACAGCCAAGCACTTTTTAAATATTCTGAAGTTCATGTAGTGCAAATTCAAATTATCCTCCCTGTTCACAGCTAAAGGGTTCAGGCACGAGGAACACCCTGCTCATTGGCAGGGGGTGGTCAGTGCCAGCCCACATATTGTGATTCCCAGCTGTCTCCCTAACTAAATCTGTTCTTTCCCAAGCTAGAGCATCATATGGATCCTACTGACATTGCTGAGGCCCAAAACTAGGGTGCTTTCACAGGACACTTGAGGTAGAGCAGCTGGGCAGCTAGAGATCTGTGTGCCTTGAGCTGATTCTAGTTCAGAGTGCAGACAATAAGATAAGCCTGAACTGACTAAGTAGCCACTTACTGCAGCACCTTGTAATGCTGAATCTTGGCATGTGCAAACTACACAACTTGAAGTCCAGAGTGAATTCCTTGATAAAAACATGGGTGTGAAAATAATTTTCAGAACACGCATTACTTCGAGAAGTACAAGTTAATATTCTCATTTAGGTAAGGACTTCAGAGCAGCACTCACAAGTGTTAATCACTAACTGCTTTCTTCTTTTCTCCCCCCAGAAACACGTCTGCTAGGACGTGTAGTCGTTGGGCCTTTCATGTACACCCGTGGCAAAGAACTAGAACACTGGAATGAAATGATCAGCAAGCCCAAGGAGCTGGTTAAACGGTGGCATGCTCTCTGCCACAGCACATAAACAACTCCCAACCTTTAAATGGAAAAGCTCTCACAATAAGCACTGTTTATTGATCAATAACCCAGAAGCACGTCTCACAATAAGCACTGAGTGTTTATTGATCAATAACCCAGAAGCACCTCTCACACTCCTCAGCACAGTGTATTTCTTGCACTCATTTAGATGTTTTCACCACCCCCAATGTACAACGCTAAAGGAGAACTCCTTTAGTCACAAATGTTTGGAGGCTTGCAGGAGTACTGGAGCACTCCAAGAAAACAACACAAAGGAACAGACCCATCCTTATATACTTCTCCCTAAGTGAATCTCTACTGGAAACAGAGCACTGATTACAAGAACCTTGGGTTTGACCTAGTATGGCCATTCTTACACCGAAAATCCAATTAGCTTAAGCCCCCCCTGGACATATGTCTAGTTTGGGGGTAGACTTTTCTTCATTAAGTAAGTTACTAGCCTGTAAAATAATTCAGGGTAATCATTTTTAATCAAAATAAAACATATAGGACATCCTTCTCTTATTGTTCAATGAGGACCTGGGCTCTGTACCTTTCACACTGTGCAGTCATAAACCAGACACAGACAATTGTGGCTAGACATCTTGTAAAATTATGTTCCAAGGGGACCGTAATGCCTGCAGCTGAATTAAAGCCAACTTCCTTTCCAACAGGATACAATATTAATTAATTCAATTTATTTTAAAAATGAGGCTTCTCTGGGGAGATGAGAACACTTTCCATTTTGATAATATTGTTATTATCTAAAGGAAATATGAGAACACATCTGAGAGGAACAGTAAGACAGCAGGCTTCACCTCAACCCCCATTTGAAATACCACGTGGTACCCTCAGTCCATCCTGCTAGCTGCACCACAGGGTGTCAGATGAACCTAGACTCATTACAATTAATTCAGTTTTACAAGATGTTCCACCTTCATTATACTTCTGTTGAATGAGTAATGCCAGCCCCTCCAAGAGCTGTTTTCAAACTTTCCTCCTACAAAACCACTGAAAACCCATCTAACAGGTAACATACTTGGAAGAGTGTATCTATAAACTGTAATAACCATATTACTATGATAAAGCAATATTACAAAACACATTTTGTCCCTCCATGATTTAAATCATACCAATAAACATTGAAGATCTTGAAAGTAAACTTAAGGTAAACTTCAAGAATGTTTCAGACAGATTTCCTAGCTTGTGCAGGAAGATGCATGTACTCTGCAGTGTCCATTAGACACTCCACAGACACCTCCAAAGTGGGAAGTCCCCTGTCTGCCTTGCACTGTGGTCCAAGTGATGTAACAATGCATTGTACTAACGTGGTCTCTTTCATTTTTGCTTATTACTCATTAAAGTACAAATATTGAACACACAAACTGGAAGTAATTCCACAAAGAAATATATTTAAAGGCTTCCAGTTTGTGTGTTCAATAATTCCACAAAGAAATATATTTAAAGGCTCTTACCCATGTACTTGATTTTGCTCAAGGTTATCCAAGTGAAGTAAATAAGAAAGGTCCTTTTTGATTCTTCCTAAGCAGGAGTTATTCCACTAAGTATTATTGAGGAGTCACAATAGAGTTACTGTAATTTTGTTGTTGTTGTTAGTTTTTTTACCTACTGCCTTTTAGGGAACATCCATCTGATCTTGTGCTTTAGATTTACATTGAGATGGAGTGATGACAGGACTTCTCAGTGCCTAACAGTACTACTACTCTTCTAAAAAAGGTTTCCAAAATGCATAGCACAGAAAACACCCACCCAAGAAACAGATACAAGTTCATATAAGATGTCACATCTCCCTCTATGTTTGCCATTACTATTGACCAATACAGGAATTTCAGAAGTCACTGCAATAAATCTAGCATGTGAGTTGACAAGTACAACCCTGTCAAATGTCAGTGAGCAGCAATTTGCCACCATTTTCAAACAGGCAGAAATAAAGGTTACATTCTGGTTCTAGAGAACAGGAGTTTGCAGAAGACCTGCCACTGCTCATAGTATTTACTTATATTCCCTTGTGCATCACTCTTTACCTTACCTTCTCTCCCAATTAAAGTTATACCTGTTGTACTCTTTTAGGAGGCCTAAGGATCACTGCCATCTGCTCTGCTCCATCCTTCTTCTAAGTGAGGAAATGAGAGACCAGAAGGATCTGATAATGGCTTGCTGCTAATATAACAGTACATTCTCAAAGCAGCAGCTTGATGAAACTGAAAGGAGCAAGATGCATTACACATGATAAAGGACCAGAAACCTCCATCAGGAGAATGACAAATGCCTGATGGAGGCACACAGTTTCCTGTTTCAAAGGCAGGGAAAAAAGTCTGAAGTAGTAAACACAAGGCAGCAGGGCCTGGAAATTTGACACAGAATTACTGAGGTGAAGATGGGAACCAAAGAAACTGTCAACTGGTGGTGCATTTATGAAAATTAACATTGGTTAGCCACAGCTCACCCATCACAGCCATGCCAGCCAGATGGTTTCCAAGGGACTTAGTAAACTCAGAATGCTCATAAAGGTTCAGCATTGGTGCTAATATCTCTGCTATTAGCACTTCTATGCTGGCTGACAAAGCTGTCAGAGGTTGTTCAGAGATAAAATAATTCCCCAGTGTTTTTGCCAGAGGATGGCTAAGGCTAAAATCAGAAGACTAAGCTTGCCATTGAGAAGCAGAGCTGCACAGACCTGTTTGACCAATAGAATCTGACCAGATTGATCAGTGCACAGGCCAATACAGAAATAACCTAAGTGACCTTATGACACCTCAGCTGAAAATTCATTTCTTCAAAGTCATACAATAATCCTTAGGATTCTCTCTTGCTGCCAGACAGATTACTACCTTCCCCTTTATTGGTACACAAGAAAACACATGGCTCACACATAGCTTTAATCAACATCATTAAAAACCCATCCCCAAATACAACAGACTCCAAACTAGCACCAAGAAACATGGTTATTTAGTTTTAAGTAGCCACTTCCAAGAAACAGCACATGAAAGCTGATCAGCAGTCATATGACTTGCATTACAATACATCTGACAACTTGACACACCAAATTCAGTTTTGAGAACACTTCTGCTGGAAGCCTAAAGATGGCTGAAAAGAGTGCATGGGGAAACTGATTTCCCACATCAGAACAGTGCCAGTAGAGATCAGCAAAGATCTAGTCAGACAGCAAATATGATTCAAACCTACAGGTCCTGACAGCCTCTCTAAGAAGCACAACTTATATCAGAGACATTTCTATCAGAAAAATACTGATTGATATATTTAATCACTTCTGCAGAGTAATAGTTATTAAATAGTTACTTTATGAGGTCATGTGCAGCCATAATTTTCTTAGTCTTTTACTGATAATAATCACTATAGCAACACACTAAAACTTTAAAAATAATTAGATTAACCTCTAAATCTAATGAAGATGGGAGAAAATTTTGCAGACCTATGTTAAACTGATTAAATTGCCTTAAGATGATTATGTTTATTTGCCAGCTTATGATAGAAAATACTACAACAATTAAATAATTTAAAGGGTCCAAGAAAGAATGCACCAGTTTAAATTGTTTAAAACCTCTTAATTAAATTGGTGCAATAGCTTCTAGATACACAGGATTAGATTCAGTGAGACAGTTGTTCTACAAGTGAAAACAAAAGCAGCAAAATTGCTGAGGAGAAATAGCAGAAATTCTAGTATTTTAAGAAGGAAAGCAACCACAGTAACAAAGCAAGCAAAGATATAACTGAGTTACAGGTAATGTGTAGGGTAAGACAAACAAAAATCTTATAAATAAAATAATATTACTGAATTGTGGTTGTCTTCCTCTGATCTGTCATATCTGAGAAAAATTCAGTCTTTCAATACTAGTGAAGTTTTCTGGGAAGGAAAACAGACACCCAGGAAGAGTTTATTAATATAAAAATATACTTTATAGTACATACTGCTGCTGTAATACTGATAGGCAGACATACAAAAAAACCCAAAGACCTGATATAGAATAAATAAAACCCAAAATCCATTCTTGTATTTTTAAAGAGATTTGCTTCCTTGAGCTAATTCCTCTTTCTTCTGCTTGCCATCTGTGTGTTCCTATGAACTCTATCACTCAGTTACTGCAGAGCTCAATGCTTCAGAGATCAGGATGAAATCCCAGCAGATGGAAATCCTTTTGCAAAGGATAGCTGTTTTCATCCAGCACAAAGTGGCTCTTAATTTCCAATAAATAGGATGCTTCTGTATCTGCTAGCAGCAAATGGCACAGATCTGCTACTATTGTGCTGTAGGTTACATCTGAAGAGGGCACTGCAAAAGACAGAACAAGCCAATTTACTCTTTATTTTCACAAACCTGAGAAGATAAAGATTCAAGTCCCACCTCCATGAAAGGTACTCAATGACTGGAACCATAGCCCACCATCTGAATTGACAAGTAGCTTTGGTTTTTAACATTTATTTTTTTTAAAACAATGCACTGAGAATGTTTTTCATTAAGCTAACATCTGCATCATGTAAAACACCTCTCAAGGATCTATCAACAGGAGCCTGTCCAAGAGACTGTTCAGTTAACTGTATCATGAAGGCATGTCAGCTATTTCTAAAAACTAAGAGATTCTATTTTGCATATAGGGAATCCATTCAGTCACCAAATATTTATAACACAAATGTTCATATCTCACCTCTTGTGAGGCTGTGAGAACAATGAAGTGTTCTCTTTGAGGTTGGTTTTGTTCTGGAAGTCTCATACAACATGAGCAATCCTATTTCCAGAACAATCTCATCCCAATAATTAAAAATTTTACTCCCCTTGTGAACCTTGCTCCCTGTTTCTATCCCAAATAATCAGTGAAACAGTACCTACTAATCTGTTGAGCCAGTCTGCAGGAATATTGAGGAAGATTTTTTCCATCAACTCGGATACTACATGAACATTAATTTCATATCCTCCATCTTCTACTGTCATCAAAGCAGGTCTAGATCAGAAAATAAAAGACTCTTCAAAGTTAGCTGCTATGTTTTTCTGCTTGAAACAAAATTTTTGATTAAAAGTAATACAAGGTAATATTATCCTCCAACAAAACACCAGGAAATAGAAAACCCAGGAAATTAAATGCCTCCTCTTCCTGGAAACCATCTTCTACATAGGATATGGGCAGTAGTACTCCTATTAGGTCTGAAATTAAGCTGGTTAGGGACTGCTGTCCCACAAGCTTTCCAAATTTTGCTGTTTTATATGATTCAAAAGTGGTACTGGATGAAAAGTAAATGGTAAGAAGTGATGCCCTTTTTTAGTACAGGTGCTCCCTGTATTTCAAGGGTTTGTCCTCTCCAACTGTCATTATTGATGCCATACCTTTATTGTTTCCACCAAAAGTCCTTGCTATTATTTTTTCCTGTGTTTCTGTGAGCTGATGATACCTCAGCAGTCCTCTAGAGTGATGTTCAACAGGTAGTTTCTGCTTGCTTTCAACTTGATTTTTACTAAGGCTATAATTCATACAGCTGATGCAGCTTCTGCCCAACATATGCTCTCACCTGCCCTGAGACCATTCAGAACTTGACCTGCAACATCTGCACCACCACAGTCCTCACATTTTTCAGACAATCTGTGCTGCTCTGATCAAAGCCGGATGCAATGTCATATCCTGACCACCCCACAGAAGAAACTAAACCAGTAAACATCAGGACATGTCACAATAATATAAATCCTGGTTATAACAATATTGGAACCGTTCCAAAATAGTGTACATTAAATCAAGTCATAAAATAAGGCACAATCATCTTCAGTGCAGAACTTTTCAGTGGCAGATACTCACAACTGGATAAAAGGTGCTCCCTGCAGAGGTGGCATAATTTAAAGCTTTGAAAGCCACAGGCAAATGTGGTCTGCAGAGGTCTCACAAAGCAATTAATACATTAGGAAATACTAGTTTTGCTTTGTTCCTGATTATTATATGCTGCCTACCTGTTTCTCAGTTTGTACTCTGTTCTCAAGGTCATCTACATCTTCTTTCAGATAAACTTATTTACTTCAATAAGAGCAAACTGTTATGGTGAGAAAGGAAATTCAACACAACCTTCAAAAAGAGTCTAGCCCTGTTCATTTTTGTTCACTAGTGCCACAGAAAATGTCAGTTTATGATTGCCTTTATTCCTTAAATAGCCCTGGTTTTAATATGGTCAATTTACATCACTGTTAAACAGTTAGAAACATATTTAAGGATATAACTAAATCTTACTAAAGGTATAAATCTATAAAACTGTTCCTTAGAAGCTACTGAGTCAACAGTCTTTAATGCCTGTATACTAAGGTACTGAAACAGGTTTTTCCACTAGTACAGAATGGTTAAATTCAGCCCCTGCTGACCATAAGTACCTGGGAAATTCCTACCTTATTACTGCCATTAAAACGTTCAGCATCTTAACTGACAACCAATCATTGGTATAGACTGAAAAATGAACTGCCTGAAGGGAATGCTACCATCATACCTAATTCCAGGCAAAAAATGACAGGAAAACTGAAAGTTTGGGCAAAAGAGATCTAGAAAATGAGGACCTAGCTGTGATAACTGAATTGAACTACAAAATATTTTTGTCTTTTTTAATGATTTCTTCTAGCTTGACATTCATATTGTCCTAGCTCAAAAAGAGTATGGAAATATTTACACACATTCTGTGACAGAACTTAGGTAAAGTCTAAGTTTCTAGGATCATCTGCCTGACTATTACCACTGAGGACCTATCTGTGATATCTGAATCTAGGAGTTGAGATCTGAACTACAAAATATTTTTGTCTTTTTTAATGATTTCTTCTAGCTTGACATTCATATTGTCCTAGCTCAAAAAGAGTATGGAAATATTTACACACATTCTGTGACAGAACTCAGGTAAAGTCTAAGTTTCTAGGATCATCTGCCTGACTATTACCACTATGGTTGAAGTGTTCAGTGTTCTGGGTATTGAACTTCAGAAAAAAAGCCTTCTAACCATATACAAATGCATGTGTCTTAAGCTTGTGTCTTCATCATCTGAAGGAAGAGATGAGCTGTGGTACAATCACATCAGATTAACAAACTTGGGCTCCTACATTTCAGAAGAAAAATTAGAGGGGATGACTTCACTGACCTACAGTACTGAAATCAGAGATTTTAAGGCCATTTAAGTGTCTTAAATACCAAGATCTTTTACAATATCTCTTTTCCTGCCATAGTGTCTATTTTGTATCTTCAAATATTCACACTCTTAAAATAAAAAATAGTGGGTTAGGTTAATAAGATACTACATCCCCTGAATCAAAGAAGCAAATCAAATTACAGAATCATATTAGGTTTTAGGAAGCCTTCTGTGCTTAGGATTATTCATTTACTCATACTAAGTACAAAACTATATGCAGATTTTACTCCCAAGGAGGTCCTGATAGAAATTGCATTGTCAGAAACAGAGCATACTAACTTTACTACCTCCTTACATTGAGGGATTAAAAAACAATCTGAGGTAAGGGGATATGAATTAGTCAGCTACAGGAAAAAAGTTTTCTACCAGTTGTGCATGGAGTTTTATAAACAAGACTAGCACATTTACATCAAGTTAGGACAGCTTATTTAGTTCAGCTGATTTCATTTTAACAAGACATTTCTTGAGCAGGAGAGATTTTTCCTCCTGTCAAGATGTAAGTGTATGAAGTTATCCTACAATACAGAATTCAGAAATGCTACCAAGGAGATTCATTCTTACTAAACTAATCAGAGCAAAATTTCAGTGTAAAAAGGACAGACTTTTTGGGACAAGTTGCATGTTAAAGGTGCACATTAAGATGTGATCACATGCTGAAAATACAAACATTGGAAAAAAACTTTATACTTTTTCTACCACCTTTTGTGCAAGAGAGTAAACTGAGGTCCTTCAGGACCACATTAAAGGTCATCATCTTATGAAAGAACAGGGGAATCTTTACAGTTAGGTGAAAAAAAAAAATCAAATCCAACTTTTTGCACTTAAATCTTCCTTCCTAGGAAAAGAAATAGCTTTTAAACTTAAAGATGCAAGACTATTTCACACAGAGGAAAAAGACTAAGTCACTACCTTGTTGGAAAAATGGGATTCTAGTATTTAAACCACAGCCAACTGAGGAACTTGAGTATGTGATGATACATTAAACTTACAACACAATAATTTAGGAATAATTTCATAAATAATTTTGGTAGAAAAAGCACAAGTTCTAGAATTCTGTTGCATCTATGATTGTCTCAAGTAACCTTCTCCACCTATATGTCTTTCAAGTTGCTGTGATACTTACATTTCTGAAGCCCAAGATAAATTTAAGGATTTCAAAAATAAAGTTTTTTCTACATACTGGACCTGTTATTTTTGCTCAAGTAAATGTCCCTGCACATCTTGTCTCACCGTGCCATCTGCTGGTAACACAGTATCTCTGCTCTCTACTGCATTGAGAACACTTGTTAATATTATTTCTGCAAGGCTGAAATGTATTCATCAGTTTAAAAATATGGTTGTGTGCTTATACCACTTAGAACTTAGGCCAAAACAAGATGCTCAAGTATCTCCCCTTTGGTCCTCAGGCTTCCACTCCATCTCAGCTTACTGACAAAGCACTAGGTAAACCTTATTATTATATGATGTGGCATTCAAACAAATTGACCCATAAATAATGATGCAATTATGACACAGCAATTCAAGAACAGCTCCTTGAAATTTCATTACTAAAAAAAAATAAGAAATGCTAGCTACACCTTCAATACAGAATATTACATATGGGGGGGGACTTAAAATGGAGAAAGTTGTAGTTGACACATTATTTCAGTTTACCTGTAGAAGGTTTTTACTTTGTTGTATGGCAAGCACCTAATACATTGCTTGTAGATCATGTTCTCATCTGCCTGTAGTTCCAAACCACATTTAGCACAACCTGAATATGTAATCAAAGGCAGAGAAGCCAAAACACACTCCAGTGAAGTATCAGCACGGAAGATGAGTTGTTTGTACTGACTAGTTGAAATGGTAAACTTCAGTTCTGAGATATGGGCTTTCACTTGAATCACTCCTAGAAAAAAAACATTTCCATCAAATCCACATTCCATTTCATTTATAACTGAAATCAAAAGTAAGTGTTACAGCTGATTCAAACCCAAGATGATTACCAATAAAGCTTTCTGAGTTTTTTTTCCTTTATTAACACATGCTTATATTTTTAGACATAATTTATGCAGTGAAAAATCATTGTGGTTAAACACTTGAAGATGTATTAAAGTACTATGTTTTCAGGTGCTATTGGGGCAGATGCTACTATAGAGGAGCCTGAATCAAGAGACTTTTAACTGCATAAATAATTTTGAGTTGCTTCTGTTCCTCAGTAATTCAGAGACACTGAAAAGCACAGCTTTATATACAAATAGTGGAAAGGTAAGTTGTTAAACTGAAGTTAAATACTGCAACACTGAACCTCAGTCACTTCATGCTTAACATTGACCTTTGCAATCTTTTACCTGGGAGAGAGTGAATGTGTAAAGCATTTTTTTGTTCTTTTGTAACAAGTTTTCATTAGCAGTTGCTATTTTTCTCTTGCTTTAGATAACTCAAATTTTGGAGAAATACTATTAGACCAACTTTCAGCAATTAATCACATCATTACTGCACTGGCTGGGACAGACAAAAGGCAGCATCTCTCCCTGTGTTCCAAAGCTGCCTTTGTACAGTACCACACACCTCACCAATTTCACCTCTGGGCTCACTACATGAAGACTGCACTCACAGTTTGGCTGGGGACTGAGCAGCAGCCTCCAGAAAAGAGTCAGACTCCTATAGCTGTGCTAGCTTAAAACCTCCCACCATTTTATTTGGTCAGAGCACCTATTTTGATTAGTTATGAACTGCTTAACAGACATTACAGAGCTATGGGTAACACTTTTACCTGAGTATTTTTCCTCCAAATGTGCTGAGAGCTTTGTCATCTGCATGAGGGAAGTTTTGCTTTTCTGAAACTTTTCTTTAAATTCAATTGCCCTTTTGTCATCATCAAACAAGCACTCACAGGATGACCATGGAGTTGTGTGCAGCTCAAAGTCACCTGACACAGAACTACATTGGACCAGAAGGTATTTAAAGTCCCATATGTGATCTACAGAACAAAAAAAGGCAAACAAGAGTTTATGTCTCATAACTTGGTTGATTTACAGAAGGCCAAGGTCACTTACAAAATTGAGAAACAAATCACCAAGATACTCTCATATGGTCAGCTCTGGTAACTTTACTTCTAGCCTGATGACATGTGTAATTTTTCCTTTCCCTATAAGCTTTGCATGAGTCCTCCCAGAAGAGAATCATACTTTCATTTCACTTTTATTGAATTCACCTTTCAAGACAACTTTTTGAAAAAGAAACCAGTTCTGAAATCTCTTGTCAGCTCTTATAACTAGACAATGTCTAGAAAAAAAAAAAAATACCACCTTTAATATGTCCCTGGTATTTAATCCTCTATTTCCACAGTTCTCTGTTATAGCATAGTTAACAACCAAGTGTAGTTGGTGTTTTGTTTGTTTTTAATAGTTACATAACTAGGCACCAGTGGATCTTTTATCTAGATTCATGTTTCTAAATATTCAGGCTTCCTCAGTCTTCTAAAGCAAGTGTATTCAAATTCTGCTGCTGATGGCACTGCTTTTAAGCAGAGAAGACATGTTAAAACTGGTACCAAATATGTTGCCCTTCCAAGGGGAATATTTAAAGGTTGAATGGAAAACTTAGCAGCTGAACATTTTAAAGATATTAATAGCATCACAAAAATCCTTTTGCAGCTACCTATAGGTAGAAGGACTTTACCTTTTTTCCTTTGAAGTTGAGGGCACCAGGCAGCCCCTGCTCCCCACAGCACCATCCTATAGTGTTGATCTCTGTTCTGTTCTACTGTTAGAATAATTTTTCTTTGGTTGCCACCTCTGTAGCTATACACAGATTCTGAAAGAGTTTGAAATTATATGACTTCAGAATGGTAGGGATTGAAGGCACATCTGGAGATCATCTAGTCCAACCCCTGCCCAAGCAGGTTCACCTAGGGCAGGTTACACAGCAACACATCCAGGAGGGTTTTGGAAATGTGCAGAGAAGGCTGACCCACAACCTCTATGGGCAGCCTGTCCCAATGCTCTGTCACCCTCACATCTTCATTAAGATGAATCCATGCTGCTATCATATTTTACAGAACAATTATAAGCAAACAGGAATACATCTAAAAGTTCTTCAAGACAGAATGAAAGCAAGCAGTTTTAAGCCTCTAACAGCTGGGAGATTTAGGCACAATAATACATTATGAAGACTCCTTTATGCAAAATTCTCCATTTAGAATGAATAAACATAAAATTGACAGTGTGGCTTAAAATTTGAATCTTACTAATACAAGATCACACTGCAGTATGTTCAAATTTATGTGCAAAGCTTGAAGTCAAGCACTGTGAAACAGTGATACTGTAAAGAAAAGATAATCCCAACATTTATGCAGGGAAAAGAGAGGAAGACTCCTTTTCTAGGTGGGAGCAGTGGTCTTTAACTACCCCAAAGGGCATTAAAAAACATGGCAATGCACTTCATGAAATACTGAGAATACCCCAAGACAGTTTGGTTTTGTTCACTTCAAAAGGTGGAGAAGACACTAGGAAGCAGCTGTGAGGCCTAATTATGAAGAAATTGGAACAAATTACCAATCTTAACATGGAAAACTTCTTCAGCAAAAGGAATCCTGAAATAACTGCATTTGCTATTAGAAGAAAAGTAACATATGGCAGAAGAATAAACTCAAAACATCATTACATGAACTGCTAGCCATGATTCTATGGGGGAGAGGATTCTTTACCATAAAAACATACAGGAAACTGAGATGTCAAAAAAGAAAATAGTAATGAGGTAATTCTCTGTTATGCTTATGTGGAAGAAACAGGAGCATCACAGCAAGACATGTCAGTATTTCATACCATCCATTTTCCAGTGCTGAAAATGAGAAAGAACTCGTACAAAAAGGCATGAAGGAAGGATTACTATAAAGAAATGTTGTACATATTTAAGAAACTAGGAATGCTTAACTTTAAAAAAAAAAAAATCTAAGTAGGAAAAATTAGAAAGAAATAAACAAGAAATATAAACAAATAAGACATCAGAAAAGATAAACACAGATCCATTATAAATTAGGAAAGGTAATCAAATCCCAAAACATTAAATTAAAATAATCAACAATGCATTTCATGCTGAAAAGGTATGATTTGTAGTGCAATCAAATTTTCCTTTAATGACAGGATGCTTACATGGAAGGCAAGGTAGGTGAGCTTTGAATTAGCAAAGCCTGACTGTCCCACATGACATCTTCATAAACCAGCCCCCTTTCTCAAGCAGTGGCCTACAGCAAGACTGTGCCTCTTGAAATTCAAGAGCCATTAAAGAGCATACCTATGTTCCTCCACAGTAACTGCATCACCCTCTTTTCAGCACCCCTGCTATCGACACCTACCTTCCCTGAAAAGGATTTCAGTCCCACATTCCTCAGTTCTGGGATTTTCCTGCTGCCACTCCACTTCCCAACACTGTACTTCGTACAGGAATCTCTCTTGAATCCTCCAGCTTACTGGAGATCAGGTGCTGTGCTATTTGGAGCTGTGGAGATGCTCAAGCTGCTTCACTGCCAAGCTGATGCATTAGGAAGTGCAGTCTGTGGTGAGTGCTGATTCCTTAGTGGAAACACACCAGCCAGCTCCTGGCCAGTGCCAGTGTGCAATAACCCTCCCAGCTGCTGACTCCAGGCACTGTTTCCTTCCTGTCTTTAACTGTTATGCTCCCCATGAGTTACAGAGGTTTTATTCCTGACTTCTACATCAAACACTGGTGTATGGAATGGGAAACAACCAGAACTGTCCTGCAAAATTGCTATTTATGTTTTACCTAGTGTTGAAGTTTTGGAAGTTGAAGTCCAGTGCATGAGCTTACCTGTTAGGATGGCAATGCTGGTAATCTTCAAGACTGAGTGAACCAATGTATTTGGCTGGAGCTGGTCTAGCTGCACATACTGAACACTGTCCAGAGTCTGAACCTGTCTTCGTGGCATGTCTCCAAAGTGTGGAAATTCTGCTGATATGTAGGCCAACAAGCCACGAAGAACATCACCATCCACTATAGGATAAACTTATATGAAAATAACAAGGTTAAAGTGACACTTTTTTTAAGCTTAGAAGTATAAAATTTATCTGTTGTATTTACCCTGGCAAAGCCAAAAAAATTTCACAATAATTCTAAGGTAAGAAATTCTTGAGATGAAGTAGAGTTTAATTTTTGATCAAGTGTTACACACCTGCCTCCTCTTGAAAACATCCCAAAGTTAAACTACATGCAATATTTTACATTACACCCAAAAGAGGAAAGAAATCTTGTACCATAGCTTGGTAAGAAGACTAGCTATTCTTCTAGGATATTAAATAGCTGGTGATAACAGGCATCAGGAAAGCAGTAAGAAGAATGCAAGTTCATGGTGATACTTTCACTGTATTGTCTCCCACTCTCCATGGCTCAGGTATCTTTAAAGAACTCATGCTTAACAACTTGCAATGAATTACTCTCCCTGAATGGATCTATTTACTCTAGAAGCCTCTAAAATATTTGCAAAAAAATTAAACCTCATGACAGTTGAGTCACAGGAGAGCTGTTGCTCCTCAAACTAAGCTCAAAGAGTTCAGTTTTTTCCAGAGTCTTGAATGGTAACTGCTCAACTTTGCTATAAACTACACATGCCTGTCTGATGTCATCATGTCCACATCTTGTCCACATGCATTCCTGTCACTTTCCTATAGTGTTTTATACCTCTCAGTTGCTCACGTTTTCATTTTATCCTATTTATGAGGCATTGTCAACAAAATGGAGTATTTCAAACAGCAATTTTACTGTGATTTTTGCAGAAATTTGTGGACTATAATCTTACATTCTTCTGGATCAAGAGCTGAGCAGTTTCCCATATTCAGTAACTGACTGGTAAATGTAGATTGCAGCATGATTTCTCCACACCAAAGATTCTCATACACCATTATATCTGCAAGAAAAAAGCAACCTTGTCAGCAATAGTGAAGTGTATCATATTTTTCTTGACTATAGAATCATACATATACACATATATATACATATACATACAGAATCATACAGGTGTGAAAGAGTTTGAAAGAGATCACCTGGAAACAAAATGATTGCTTTTAAAATCTATCAATATAATTTACAATGAGTTAATCAGTTTTTCTCAGTAGTTGGACATAATTCTTCCATTCACATAAAACATTCACTAGCCTCATAGGAAGTACTGTATAAGTGAAATGAGTGACTGGGTAATGAGTGAAATGAGTATTGGGTAAGTTATTGTTGTACAACATTTCAGAATGAACAGTAAAGTACTAGGCTTACCCAAAAACACTTGTGACCTATGTTGAGAAGAATGTCTAAGCAGAAAAGAAAAAGCCCAACCTATCTTCAAAGTCTTTAAAATATCTACATTTGCACCTCCCTATAAGCACTTAAAGGACTCTTAACAAATAGAAATGGGCATCTTAAACTGTAGAGGTAGTCAAACAATTTTATATTGTGAATTTTTTTGCATATTCAAAACCTAAATGGCTGGACTGCTATCAAGTTCTGGTCATCTTCAGTCTTAAATTAGGTGCAATATTGTTTTTACAGTACAGCATTTTCTTATATGAGATGTGTTCTCTTAAAGAGAGGGGTTTGCTCCTGTTCACTAAGTATTAAAGAGTACAAAAGATTTACCAGAAGCAATCTTCATTATTAGCTTACATATTATCAAAAAGGTGAACTGCAAACAGCATTTTATATTTCTGTAGTCTACATCAGTTACTAACTCACAGTATGACCCATCTCAAGATGCTACTCCTAAGATATCAACTCCTTCATAGGAGTAAAGTATTTCTTGAGACTGAACATAGCATCACAATCTTCTGGTCCATCTGCTGGTCCAACAGCACATAATTACAAAAATAAATCTATAAATCAATTAACTAGCACATCTGGTTTGTAGTAGCACTTGCACCTTTCCCAAATAACTGTTTCAGAGCACAGGCAGGTTCCAGAATACACCTGACTACCTGTGGCACTGATGGATTGTCAACACTCTGCTGTGTCTCAGACCACAGACTATCCATAAGAGCTGGGCAAACTTCTATGGGACAGCCAACGTTCCACTGGTAGGATGAGAAATGATTTCAAAGTGATGTTGAGCTAATCCAAGTGATGTGAGGAAGACACTTAAATGCTTAGCCACATTTCTAAATTACTGGTTACATATTGTTCTACTTGAAAGGAGCATTATTAAGGTCCAAATTTTAAATAGCCAAATAAAGGAATTCTCACCTGTAAGCAGTACAATATCCCCAGGAAACACAGTGAGTGACCAAAATGCAGCACCATGCCACAGCACCACCTTCCTCTCAATTTCTGACTGGTCAATAACTGCAATTGTTGCTACAGGCACTTTACGTGAAGATTTTGGTCTAGTCTTCTGGATCTCTTTGATATGACAAGGATGCACTATTGTGACCAAAACATTGTACTTTTCATTTTTGCAGCAGCAGTTCTTAAGTGGTGATAGCTTCTTTTGAAGTTTCTTGAACTTTGTCATCCTCTCTTGAGCCACTCTCATCCCAGAACCAGCTGGAGGAGAATTCAGTTTAGCTCTCTTTGATTTCAGCTGTCTTTTAAAAACTGAGGGAAAAACATGAGAGGAATCTTCATGGCCGTGGGCTCTGTTAGAAGAGCTCTTATGACAACTGTCTCCTTGGGAGCACAATATTCCTGAGCTCAGTGGTTCAATATGGATTTCATTTACAAACTGCTCAGCAGGGACATTAAGTTCCTGAGCACTTCCTTCTCGTTTTGGAGCTTCAAAGCAAACATTTGCTCCATCAGCCTCTGAGTTGAAAAGTTCAAGGGAACTTGTATACTCCTCTTTATATTCCTTCTCAGCCACATTAAGACATGTTCCAACATCAGAATCCAGTTGAAAGTGATCACGCTGTCTTTCTTCAGGTTTTTTGCCTGCTTTTGTTTCCCTCAGTTTTATTATTCTTTCCTGCACTTCATTCCATCCCTGAGCCACAAGAGCCATCTGACTGGCTGTCATTATGCTACGAAATTCAGTATCTGTTGACACTGCAAAGTCTGAAAAATTACTTGGTCTGCCTTTTGGTTTTGACTCTTGATTGGGGAGGAAAAACATATCCAGATATTGGCTTAGATGTTCATGGTGGTAATTTCCATTATCTGATTGAACACCTTGTCCCACAGACCTTAGATGTATGCTAATCTGCTTAGTATTGGTAACCAGCTCAGAAATGTCAGAGCTTTTAACTTCTAAATGACTGGCCTTTCTATCAGTGAGGTCTGAGCCACAGCCATGGGATAGTTTATCTTGTCTAGCTGATTCTTCAGGTTTTTGCAGAAGGTGTTGATCTGCAGCCTGATTCATATTTTCATGTGTGCATCTATCTCTAGATATCTGACAATCAGAATAAACCAAACTTTCAGTCATTTCAGGTGTGCTGGTACAAGTTACTGCCACAGGCACAAGAGATGGCAAATAGTCTTTTGCTATTATTAATCTCTCCTGTTCAGACTGCTGAGAGCTGCCATCGTTTGTGGCAACTGCTGTGACTACAGAGCTTTCTGCCTCACACTCTGAGCAGTCAGCACCTTTTACTTTTTCAGAAAACAACCTACTTGTATCACACCAGCAGAGTTCTCTCCATTGTTCAGCTGCAGGCACTGAATTATCTTGTTCTGAGACTCCCAGTGGGCTTGGGATAGTGGGTGCTCCCATAAAAATATGAATTTGAGGTCTTTTTGACATTTTTGATTGCTGTGTAAGTTTGACTTTAAACCATGGTTTATGCAATAGGCATACTAAATATTAATACATGCAAAAAAAAGTTGTTTGTTTTTAACTATTTTAAAATATTCAAAGGGTAATTTAGTAATTTACCTGGTAAAAGCACCACTATTTAAAGCCTGTAAAGTTAAATGTACAAGAAAAATGAAAGTTACTTGTGTCAAACTTGCACAGAAAAATTTACAGGAGGGCTTAATTTGTGATTCTAATACTTGGAAACATAGCAGATAAACTTCAACTGAATTTCATTGTAATTGTGTAATTGTTGAACAGACATATTCATTTATTACTGTTAATTAAACAGTCAAATGTGCATTCGCTATTCAGTACTTAATTTTAATCCATATGAAATAAAATTGCTTTAAGAGTTTGGTAGAAATGCAGCATTTTACATGTTTTAGCATGAAAATACTGTATTAAGTAATTTTATGAATTGGAAGGTTTCAGGATATTACTGCTAATAAATTATTACTATTACAGGATAAATTATTATTATTTAATAAGCACTAAGTCAGTGAAACTTGAGCAGATGATTTAGGATTTGTTTTAATTAATTTATATAGTATCACACTACCCAAGAATTTACAAACTTTTCTAATTAAAAATAAGTCCACCTTGCACAGCACAAAAAAGGGGACCCTTTCTTTTTCAAATTTCTGCTATGCTACACTTATAAATACTCAGCTACAGCTACAAGTCTTCCACAAAACACAAACACAAAATGAAAACACGTTTCCTGAGTGTTGTTAATAGAAGTTGCTGCAATAGGCAATTCTGCAGAGATGAGTAACAACACCAGAAATGAAATTCAGGAGCTAATCCATCTGCAAACAGAAGAAAAAGAGCATTGAAACAAATACAACATGGAAAAATTTTTGTTTTAGAACTTAGTCAATTAACAGCTGATTTCCTAAGGACCCACTAGGGGTCGATAAATCCACATAGTCATAAAGTTCATAGTAGCATGGAAAAAGTAAACATCCTGGAACACTGATCTCTGATATGTTATGGGTGTAACTAGAAAAAAATATACAACCATTCAAATTAGCTATATCATTTCACAGTAAAAAGAAACTATAAAACACAGTAACTAGTATTGCTCAGTTTTATGCTCATTGCAAAATACATAGGAGAGAATTTTACAGTTCAACACTAAAATAATGGATCATGTAAGAAGGGAAAGACAAAGTGATAGTAAGGTTGAATCCCTAAGGAAGGGATGATGATGAATCTTCTAGATAAAAGGCTGCCCAGTATATGATGTAAAAACAGCTACACTAACAGATCCCCTGTGACAAACAGAAAATGTTACCACTACTTCAAAGGAACTTTAGAACTATAACTTAACTGATGAGATTAAATCATTTTTCTATTATTTAAAAATCATTAAGTAGCTTTTTTCATGTGTAACCTTGGCTTACATTTGTAACTTGGTTACACTTGTAACCTTGGTTACAGCCACCACAGATGGGTAGCTTTCTTTATTAGGTACTCTCCAGTGGAACACTAGAAATGTCTCTTAAAAAGGCAGTTCCATGCATAAAAGGTCCAAATGAATCACAGAGATTTCTTCTGCAGACGTGCTACAGTACAAAAGAGGCTGAACAGCAGAATTCTGACAAGTCCATGTTGTTACAAAAGAACTTGCATACTATGCAGAGTGTAATGAAATCAGGCATTTCCACACTGGGCTTTGGTAGAGTGAGCAGCTCTTGCACTTATATCTTCATCTTCTACAAGGGCTGAATACAATCTGTCACAGGTATAAGATACCATCTTATTCCAGCCTTACTGTATTGTAAATATTCTAAAGCATTTGTGCATTAAGTTTCAGGTAAAGAGAAATCTTAACTTAAGTGAACTAAAATACATTCAGGACAAAATGTGCTTACATGCTTTCTATACCTGTGGAATAAGCTTATAACAGGGTTAAGTTTTCTTGTAAGGAAAAACTGATATTCAACATCCCTGTAAATGAGCCCATTGAACACTTCAGATCTTGATGAGTCCTGAGGACACTGGAAGGGCAATTCCATCGCTAAGAAGATGAGATCATTAGAACAGCACGTTAAGAGGCCAGCTTACAACCTAGTGTTGTAAGATAAGAGAGGTTGTACTCATAGAAAAGTTGGTGCTTAAGATGCTGTAGTGTAAAGGACTCAAAATTAAAGTTAAAACAACTGTCAAGTGTCCTAGGTTACTTCACATAACTAAAATGCAGGGCTTCACATACTGTACTCGGGCAAATTTTTGCACATTATAGCTTAAAACCAGAAAACAGCAACAAAGAAAGCTTTTAGGCAACTATGTATTTCATAGGTTAAACATACCTTCTCAGGACTGCAGGTGCAGCACAGAAGTTTAAGATCCTAGAAATGTATTTGTATCTCACTCTACTTCAAGAGATATTCCGTGCTGTATTTCAAATATATTCTTCCTACAACCATGGTTGAACAATGCATTAATCAGTTAACACCTGAAGGAAAAATAACACTGAAAAATCATATTCAAGCACAGGGTTTTTGTTCATAAATCTATTTACTCCCCATATTAAAACTATGGAAACTAGCTTTGGCTTTAATTCCCAGGCACTATGATTTTTAATGTGAGGTTTTACCCAGCTATGATAGTAACAAAAATGTACATCAAAACACATCCCAATAAGCCCCAAACTTTCTCCTCAGCATATGTATCTACACTTTTTATGCTGAGCCTGAATTAGACAACGTTTTTATCTTGGCATACTTGTGGTCTTCATGAGATCTATTTACTATTTCTATCCTTAAGATTCAACTAGATGAATTCTTCTTACATTAAGATCCTTGTGGCAAAACAAGAGTTTTAGATTTAAATAAGGAGAAATTAGAAGAAATGGGAAGATAATTATTACAGCAGAATACTGTTTAATGATTTTCATTGGTTTTGGATTAGTTTTGTGGTTTGCTTTAAGTAGTTTTGCTTGCACTACAGTATTAAGTAGCATGTGTGTAAGGATTAGAATGGAGCAGAAAGTAGCTCTCCACAGATCTCTGGTTAGGGAAGTAAAGGTATATTGCAGCATGAGAAGATTTATGAAAGAACAGACTATAAAAATAAAGGAACAAATAATTGGAAAGCTTATGAAGATGAGGTTAGGAACAGAGAAGGCTGCATTCCAGAGGCTCAGTGGAAGCCATCCTTAGATCAGAAACATCCCACTAGCCCTCGTCTTCTATGAAGAGTGAACTACCTCCTTGGACACACATTGAGATATCATACATAGAAAAGAAAAAGACAACTACTGTGCTCCTTCCCCCTTTTATTTTCTTCCTGAAGTGTTTCATTTTATGGACCCTGGTTTCCCACTAGTCCTCATCTTCTATGAAGAGTGAACTACCTCCTTGGACACATATTGAGATATCATACATAGAAAAGAAAAAGACAACTACTGTGCTCCTTCCCCCTTTTATTTTTTTCCTGAAGTGTTTCATTTTATGGACCTGGAAGATCTTGGCACAGTCTCACAGTATACACTGAAAAAGATAAATCTTCTTGCAGCTTCAGTATTTTGGACTCAAGTTACAGCAGGCATGCCACTGCCAAATACATTTTCTGCATTGTATTCCAGAATAATTCCTCTTCTACATTTATGTTTATAAACACACAATAAGATCTGTGACTAATATTAAAGAAGCACTTTGAAATTTCTTTTTGTTTTTACAAGTATCTGAGTATTTGCTTTCATGAGCACATCTTGTATCTAGGCAGTACTGACATGACAAAAATGTCTGAATAATAAGTGGTGACTTATTTACAGCAGGACTAAAACCCCACCAGTGACAAAAATCTGTGAGTTACTGATCACAAAACAAACTGAACACTGCCAAGATCTACTGCTGTACATGTATAAGGACAAGTGATGTCATTAAGCAACTCAATTTCCCTGAAACAGATTAAGCTGAATTTACATTGGGACAATGGCTATGCCAACTTCTAGTACAAAAAGTGGTCTACTAAAAACATCAGCCTCTATACGGACATATTCTGAATAAATCAAGGTATATAAGAACACACCTGAAACAATATTGTAAATAAAACATGTGAAATTGCATTAACAGCCCTAATTAAGATACCAACAATACTTTAGTAGGAAAATACTTTTCAAAAAAAATTCTTTACCTTAGTAAGCTTCCAGTGGCAAAGTATTTTAACCAGCCTCTCATTTTAACTACCACATCTTTTTTGGGTTTTGTCATGTTTAAAAATTAATAAAAGTTAAACAAACTCAGGAAGTTTTCCTTAAGTTTCTAGTTCCTTAATTTTCCTAAACTTAGGGTTTCCTCTCCTGGTTCATATTTTGTAGTGCAAGTATATTACATCAAAGGAATTTATTATTGACATCAATTTTTGCAACTAAAATATAATTTGTATTTTCAAACCCTAGTATTTTTATTCTTCTTAACATATTTAGAACTTAGAAATGGCAAGTGACCCCTGCCTGCTTCCTGGTCCAACTAATGAGTCCACTATCAAATGACCTGCTTTGGCAATTTCTAGGTTACATTTTAGGTCAAAGATACCCAACTCGAGTACCAGGAATCATCAATACTTACAATCATTTACGTCTGTAAATGAGAGAAAAAAAAGGTTTGGGTAAATCCTCTGTATGCAAAATTGTTTAAAGAACTTCCACTATGCTTCCTTAGAACTGTAATATTGCTTATTTAATGAGCTGTTAGTGAAGTTCTGTGCCTTGTTTTAAAGAAAAGTTTGAAAGAACAACTCTCATTAGCAAAAAGCTATGGATCATATCAGCAAAATGCCACTGCCACAAAACAAACCCACTTTTATACTGTAATTAAACTATCTGTGGGTAGACAGGGGGTTAACTAGACCAAACATAACAGGAGCTAAAGCTCATAAAGATATAACTAAGACCTGAATGCACATATCCATTGTACCTGTTAATTATTACACCATTT